GGGGGGGTTTTCCCGGCACTTATTTTTTTTCCACTTCAAGCACTGCATACAATGGAAGTCAATTCTATGCAAGTTCAAAATATCTTCTTTTGTGTTCCACAGAACAAAGGAGTCATAAGAGTTTGGAAAGACATGAGGGTGAGTAAACGAAGATAGAATTGTCATTTCTGGGTGAACTATCATATATTTTCTATCCGTGAAAAACGGAATTGTGCTCTTTAAGAACTCGTCAGGCAGGTTTGTCAACAAACCAATCGAAGCAAAGCTGAACTGGTTGGCCAAAAGGACTGATCTAATTCATACTTACCTCACACAGGCTCAAATGTGGTTTGCTGACATCCAACATTAGCAGATTTCCCAAAAGTGGCAACGGTTTTGGCCCTGGAGGTTCATTTTCATCTCTCTGAGACCTGAAGTACAGGAGATAAACAGCTAAGAGCAGAAGCAAGCAGCAGATTAATGTTCCTGTGCTGGAAACCTGAAGGAGTGCCTCCATAAGAGCCATGTTCACGGAACAATACCCAGAAGACCTTGAGGCTTGTGCAGTTTAAATGTAGCATAGGTGAAGTGGGAGTGGTTACATTTGGTCTTGGAGGTGGAGACTGTCAAAAACTAGGACACAGTCCAATGTTGTTGTAGATGTACAGTAGATTACAGTTAAAGCAACAGCTCAAAATGATATTTTTCAAAACATATTTTTGAAGTATACCACTGTAAATTTGAAAACCCAGAGTAGCACAGCCCAATTATCTACTTTTAAAACATTTACTGTACTGTAGTAATTTTATTTTTTCTTAAATTAAAAGGTCTGAAAAAAATATTGATAAGGCTTTTGTACAGCAAATGTGTTGTCAGTAAAGAATAAATAAAAAATGCCCAAGATCTGGCAAATAGCAAAGGGTAGGAAAGCATTTTTCTTCATAGACAAGTGAGAAGATAAGTGAGAAGCAAATTATATTAAGTGAAGAATATATCTATTCAGAAAATACACCTTTAAGTTTATTATCTCATTAGCAATATTATTCTTATACACATTAATGTAACTTAATGTAGTCTTAAGTGGTTAAGATATTTTTGTGTTAACATGTTTAAGAAAATTATTGAGAAACTTTTGTTCAATTATCTTTTTTTTACTACAAAATTCTTACAGCACAACAAGTACAAAAATAAACAAATACAACCCATGCACCTGCTACTCAAGACAAGTTGTGCCAAAAACAGCAGTAAAAAAAGTCTGAAGTGATTTTACACATTTCTCCCCAGGTTTTTTAAGTTATTTGCAAACTTACATTTTGTGCATTTACTCAGATCAAGCAAAATCATGACAGTTCTTACTTAAAATTAAGTATAATATGTTTTGATTGTCAAGTATCAGGAGCGTCTGATCGCACACAGCTTGTGTGGAGACGGATTCAACGTTATTCCTACTACTCCTTTGAGATCCAGCTCATCTCCAGACACTCCAGGTGGAGTTGTGAAGCGGTAGCTCTGAAGGAGAGAGGTGAAGAACAGGAAGAGCTCCATCCTGGCCAAACCCTCTCCAAGACAAACCCTGCGGCCTGAGAGAAGAAAGAATGTGTTTAATTACAATTCAAATGTTTATTTCTTCAAATCACTGGGTGTTTAGATTTGAACGTACCTGCAGAAAAGGGAACAAAAGCATCTCTCTTGATGAACTGCCCCTTCTCATCAAGGAAGTGTTCTGGGTAAAAGCTGTTTGGTTTTGCCCATTCGCTTGGATCCTTCAAAACAGACGTCAGCAGAGGAACTACAGTGGTGCCCTAGAAAATGAAGAGAAAAGGCCAAAACTTTGATGTTCAAGATGCACATGGTATCTTCTCTTGGCTTTATATCTATTTATTCTTCTGACTGACCTTCTTGATGAAGTATCCATTGAAGGTAACGTCACAGCTGGTCATATGAGGGAGATTCATGGGCACTATGTTTGCCAGTCTCTGGGTTTCATGGATCACAGCATCTGTATAAGGTAATTTCTTTCTGTCTTCCACCACTGGCTGACGTCCACCGATCACTCTGTCAATCTCCTCCTGAACTCGATCTGCACTCAAATGCAACACATATTTGTTCCTTTGGACACTGTTGAATTCAGCATTGAGGAAAAACTCGTTGACATTACTGTATTTTTACCCTGTATATGAGGGTATTTGGCCATAAGCATCAGACCCCAGCGCAGAGTCGTTCCTGTGGTGTCGGTACCAGCGACAAACAGATTTCCCACCGTCATGAGAAGATTCTCATGGTGAAAGAATGAGTCCTTCTTGCCGGATTGCTGACAAGTCCAAATCCACAAATCACAAAATTATCCTTTTTACTAAAATAATGAGTAAAGCTAAATGTTGCAAAGTACTTAATTTATTCAAAATGTTCAACTATATTCAAAATAAAAACCATTGCAAGTTTAGCATATTGTGTGCAAGTCTACATCGGTTTACTAATCAAAGCTACTGATTACTTTTGACTTTTCCTGCATTTCTATGCTACATGGTGATTTCCATACCTCATCACTCTGTTTGTGGACGAGGAAGGAGTCGACAAACCCTCTGCGGTCATGTGGATTTAGAGTCTCCTGCAGTCCAGTGATTAATTTCACAATTTCTGCTCTATTTTTCATCAAATTCCTCATAATAATCCTTTTGCTGTTTAGGAACGGACCCAACCACGGAAATATATTGTATAGCTTATAAGTACATATTCAGAGAGAGTAAAGAAAGATGTGCATGTATTAACGATTAAAAAAATTATTTCAAAGTCACCAAACAATTTCTGGTTAATATATAATTCCTACTTCCATACCATCATAGACGCCGACCCACTAACCCGAACATTTTCATTTGCTCTGTCGACCATTTCAGTGAATTGAGGGTCTGTGTATTCAAATCTGCTGCCGTACACGATAGATGAGATGATGTTTGACACAGCGTAGTTCACCGGCTGTGTCGTGTCGAAGGGTTTCTCTGTGAAGAGGAAACAACAAACCGTCTCTCAATGGATCTTATAAACTAAGAGCATGTTTGCATGTGTGTGTGTCTCAGCTTGTACCTTCAAACTTATCAAACTCTCCTTTCAGATATTGAATTTCCTCTATAATGTTCTCTTCACTTCCTCTCTTGCCCATCCCAAAGTCCCGCAGGTTGCTGAGAGCGAAGCGTCGCATTTCTTTCCAGCTTTCTCCATTGGAAAAGAGGATCCCTGATCAACACAAAACCATCAGACCATGAGCCTAGTGTCCTAGGCTAATAAACCATATAATGACTGAACACAATTTGGTGGTAAATTATGAACTGATTTAAATGCAAACAAAACATTTAGTTATTCTTACCATGACCATCATTAAGTATCCTGAAACCAGGTGTAATATCTCGCTCCCCAAACTCATCTGCATAGTTGACAAGGGCCTCTTTGACGGTTTTGTATCCAACTAATACCACAACTTTTTTAGGACCCAAAAACACTTGAAATATGTTCCCGTAGGTTTTGGAGAGCTGGAGGACACAAGGACATTTACAAACAAATCTCAAAATGTTAGGCTACTATTACTGTTTAAATGTGTTCATGTCAAGTTGTCACCTCACAAAGGCTGTCAAAAGGTCTTGTGAGGTCAAGGGTCAGCAGGTTCCCCAACAGCGGCAGTGATTTGGGTCCCGGTGGCTCTTTCCCTTCTTTCTGAGATTTGTGGTCCGAGGAAAGGTGATATAAGAGCAATAACAACAGCAAAGCTCCCAGTAATGTACCTGCGATACCTGGAAAATACAGCAGAAACTCAACAACAGCCATTTTTCAGTGCTGCACAGACGCTCTGCTGCATTCAAGCCCTTGTAATACGTACATATGGGAGGAAACTCAAGTAAATCCAGGGAGAATTCATCATTCAAAACAAAGTAACCATGAGAATATAGACAAAACAAAGTAACCATGAGAATATAGAGCTGGTATAGTTGCATCAGCAGCTTGATACATGGCACTCTTCACTGAATGATCAATTCAATGAATGTAAAATATAAGTACTAAAGCCATAAAAGTATGCAAGTAAAAAAAAAAAATAAATAAATAAAATTATATATATATAATATAAAACACCCTTTACATCACATAGAGGTAATATAATTCAAACAAGCTTTTTGTTTTGTATGATCCTGTATATACAATGATATTGATTTGATTTTGATATTTCATTAATGCATTTTTTCAGATGTTTTATCCATAGTGATTTACACAATAGAGGAATGATTTATTGGGCTAGGCATACTATACTATAAGCAGGTTAAACTGTTTTGCATCAAACACATGCACTCTCTAAAACCCCGCCTTCCAAAGGCATGACAGCCAATCCAGTTTCTGATTGGCTGAAAAGTCTGGGCCACTCCCCTGACTTTTTATCTTGGCCTATCACTGACACAGTTTTATTGAATATTTTATTCATAATGATATAAACATTTTCTTATGGCACAATCTAAATATAAAGCATAACTCTGATTCTGCTCATTTAAACCAACGTTCACTTTCCTCAAACTTTATCCACAACTTTTATGAAGCATGAACGTTTTATGGATTTGAGCATGATCTAGGATACTTAAAATAAATCCAGTTCTTTTTACTTGAAGAGGTTTGTTTTGTCCTTTATCCCGCTTACTGCATGCCTGCGACACCAAATACATAAACAAACACATGGAAATGGAATACTGAATTAGGATTTCCTAATATTATTTTAACGCCTCCGCTAAGATAAATATAGTCCATTACTATGTACAAGACAATGGGCATAACAACTAGACGACCACTGCAACAATATTACAGTATTTTAGTAGAGTTTTTTTGTCTGAAACGACAAAGCACAAGTGTGCGGTGTAATACGAGACATGAATGTGGTGCCGTTTTTTTTTTTTAAACAAATGAGTGAATTAATGTCAGACTGCTGGATGGCACGATTGACCTTTCAGAATCGAGTTTGGGGAAATGTACGTTTATCTTTGTTCAGATGTTTAGACGTTAATGTAATATTTATTGCTAGAAACTACTTCATGTTTTTTGTTAGTTTGTTTGTTTTGAAGATTAGCCTACGAACCTAATTTCAACGACCATTGAATGACGAAAAACATTTTATGTAAAGGTTTCAGGCCTTTTTGTAGCCTATTCATGGAAAGTGTCACAGATATGCTGCTTGGAGTTTAATAACTTAAAGTCCAAGGCAATTCAGAGAGTTGTTTCTAAACACATTATAAATGTAGAAATGTATTGCTGAAAACACATTACAAAGACTGTGAACTGCACTCTAAAAAAATATGGTTCTTTACATGCAGTAATGGTTTTATTTAGAACCAAAGCATTCTGAAGAACCCTTTTATGCTGAAATGGTTCTTTGTGTAAGTAGAGTTTAGGGTTCTTTATTCCCGCCCGTTTGTTTTTCAAATCTGTAACTGACAAAGCTCCTCATTACTGATTTTCTGGAGTTCAGTGATCCAACTACACAGACTGTCAACACACTCTCAATGGGTAAATTATTTCATTCTTAAAATTTAAATACATTCTCAATTGTGCATTTCAGATGCTGTCACATCCTGCAACCTCATCATCTGCAGAGAGAAACTGCCATTCAATCACACCAAAATACACATAATGATTAACTTAAAGGCATCAAAGAGGATTGTGAAGATATTTCACTGGAGCTTGGTCTTCAATACACTATTTTATGTTCTATTTTGTTTTATTTCTTTAAGCATTTATTTATGTTCAATGTCCATTGTCATTCATTAATGTATTCTGCTATTAACTGTTGTTAGAACACTGTAATTTTTGCTGCAATTTCACGTCATAAAAAAGTACCTAATTGACATGTTGTTGTTGTTGATTTTATGTAAATCCCTAATAGACACTTCAAGATATTATAAGACCAGGCAGATAGAGGGGTAAAAAACTATATTAATAAATAATATATACAAATAATACTAATATTAATGATATTAACATACTAATATTAATGAAAAACTATTATTAGAAAGGTTATTTATAACACCAATAAGGTCCTATATAGCATTTTCAAAGCATGGTTCTATATGGAACCCTATAAAAAAGGTTCTATTTAGCACTAAAAAGGGTTCTGCTATTGTATAGCTGAAGAACCGTTTTCTGGTACTGTTTAGAACCATTTTTCTTAAGAGTGTATGTAGTACTGAATCGTGGAGTGAGACCGTAGTTTTTCACCATTTTTGTGTTCAGGATTTTTTGGGCGGACTGGAGCCACTGAGCATGGCCCCTCCTCTAACAAAGAGGTGTGTTTTGTTGCTACCGCGTGTTTTGAGTTTGAGCTCCGTCAAGTTAATTCTTTATCATCTATTTTTTATCTTAAAATCAATTTTATACACCATCATTTTCGTTTCTATAACGTGGATATATCCCCTATCGTATTCTACAACAAAAACAATCAGAGCGCCTTGTTATCACTAGTTTTATTTTGATTTCCCAAGTCCGCTATTAGCATATAGCCCGTTAGCATCGCCAGCGTGGTTGCCGCTAATCTAGCTTACATTGCTAATACTCTATTCACACACATTACCATTGTTTTATTCACTGTTACTTGCTTTAATGGCGGATGTGTGTCTACCTTTGAGTGCAGGTGAGGACACGTTCGAGCTGCATTCGGTGCAGCTCGAGCTGGAGGCCGTGGAAAAGCAGATTCGCGACCTGGTGAAGAAGCAGGACTAGCTGAGAGAGCGGAGAGCTGCGCTGGAAACATCCCGGGCTGACGCTCAAAAGTCCGGGGTAAGTATACAGCGCACTGCTAACTCTCCCACCACCTCTACTCCGTGTGTTTCTCGGCACAGGCCCGGTGCACCCAGGACGCGATCTTCCCAGATGTCCTTCACTCCAGCGCCGGGACACCACGGACCCTGGGTGCACCCGCAGCGGAAGACACGAGCCAAGACCCGGGCGATGACCTCTCCCCCTCCGCCGCCTCCGGTCTTCGAGATCTCCACCAGGAACCGCTTCCCCAGCAAACACAGAACGTTCCCCTAATGTTAGTTTTTGGTTCCCGTTTGGTTATTTTTTTGGGAACCAAATACTAACATTAGGGGAACGTTCTTTTTAGGTTATATTTTTTGTAACCATAAAATAAAGTTCCCAGAACATTGCATGGTGGTTATTTTTAAATAACCTAAAAATAACTTATAGAGAACGTTCCCTAATGGTTATTTTTA